AGGGTTCCAATTTCTCCCCGTTGTGGCCAACACTCGCTGTTGTCCGTCTTTTTGATTATAGCCTCCTAAGAGACAGTAATAGGTTTTTAAGTTAGTGATTTGCAAGCATTTAGAACAAAAAATGCTGATTCGGAGGAGCCAAAATGGGTTCTCTAAGAACAAATCGTGCCAGTCTAACCCCTGATTTTCCTTTAAAAAAAAAAAGCAGCAATTTGTTTTTTCTGTACAAGCTATGCTAGGGGACTGTTTTGTGTTTCAGCCCTGTCCTTCAAATATCTCCATGTCCAAAAATGGAGACACGGGGCTTGTAGTGATTGGTGGGCTCCTCACTTGCTGACAGATGACACTCAAAAATGCTACATCCAGGAGAAAGGCCCCTGCTGCTGTTCCCCGACGCCGTTCTCAGCCCCCCTGTTTAATGTTTCTGTCCAAAACTCAGGGGGAGACACAGATGGCAGTCCTATCAAGTTTGCAGATTACCCAAAGCAGACAGACACATGCACATTGAATTATAAGATCTGGTTCCAGAAAGATCCTGACAGCACAGAATGGTAGGCAGAGTCCTACAAGATGAAATTATTAGGGACAAGTGGCAAGTCCCCGCCCACAGGATCTGGTCCAGATGAGAGTAGGGAGAGTCTGCACTTTGGTTTTCGGCTCATTAACAAAAGTATAGCCAGCCATAACGAATGGGCAACGAAGTCTCGGGGCATCTTGGAAAAACGTTACGACGTGTGGGTCTGCCGTTTCAGGGGACTCAGGGCTGTGCCGTGAGGGGTGCTGTTGAAGGAGCTGGGCACTCAGTTGGCCAACAGACAGCCTGAGGTGACTGGTGAGTTGACCTACCTGTCGGAAGGTCTCTGCTATGAAAGCAGTATGAACTGTCTTCCCCATGGCCCATAGGGAAAACAGATTTGGACTGATTAAGGAAGAACTTTGTGAAACTACAGTCAGATGGGCTGCCTGGTAAGGTGGTGAGCACCCCGTCACTGGGGGTGTTCAAAGAGACATGGCATAATCTTTTATTAAAGAACTTGCATGAGGCAAGAGGGAGACTTGATGACCTTTGAGGTCTTAGAATTGCCTAACATGAAGCCAGGGACTATCTACCTCTCAAGCCCAATCTGAGGGTCACCCAAGGCATGTATCACCAGCTGCAGAGTGAGATTAGCCTTTCTGTGGGTCATCCTCAGCTTGTGCCCCTCACAGTCTGTGTGTCCGTCAGCACACTTGGGGATCCACTTGAGACACACACACTCGCCCTCTTCTGAGTGCCTCTGTTGTGCAGAAGCCCTGCCCCTCTGACCCATTACCTGCCTTGCCCATGATGTGTGTGGTCTGCCAGTCTGCCAACCATGTGTTAAACTCTACAGCCATTTTCTTGTTCTTACAGTCATTCAGCAAATATTTAGTGAGCCACCTATTACGTGCCAGTC